CTATAAGGTTTTATTTTATGTATAAATATATTAAAAGTTAAGTTTTATTATTAGACCCATAAAGATTATTTTGATACAATTACCCTCTGGTGACACCTACTGGTAGGTTTTTGGTTTAACACTTTAAAAAAAAAAAAAAAAAAAACGTTTTTTCATCCACCAAATGCTGACTAAAAAAATTATCTTACTACTCCTAGACTGGAACCTATTATTGGGCAGCCTTGCCGAAGTCCCATATTAGACACTGCTTGAGTCAAATAGGTTGTATACTCCCTTTAATCCAGAGGCCCCTGAAAACTTCCGAATGATAGACTCAGCATTTGTCAGCCAGGCCCAAGGTGATAGTAAAAGGAAATTAAAGAAAATTAGAGGGATTTGCAGGGATGTCCATAATACAGCTAATGGAGATTGCAAATACAGTATATATGAATAGGGAGATGGAGCAAGAACGTAAAATGAGGAAAAAGGCAGATATGCTAGCGGTAGCTATCTTAAGTGTAGAAAGACAGGGAAGTGAATAGAGGAGACGAGAATAGGCTGAGCAAGGGACTTTAAGTAGGAATTAATGTGCGTATTGTAGAGAGGAGGGACATTGGAAGAGTGAGTGTCCACAGAGAGAGCAGTATGAAGGTGATAGACAAGGAGAGAGAAGGGTATGAGGAGGTTATAGTGGTAGTTATAGAGTAAGAGGAAGTTTTAGAGGGAATGGTGGGAATAGTAGAGGAAGTGTTCAAGGAGACAGATACTATCCACCCACACAGAGACCTAGAGAAAGAGAGGATAGAGATTTTGTGGGTCTGGCTGACACTGTCATGGAGGACTATTGATACCGACCGGGCTCCATCCCCCTTGGCCGAGCGGGGCCTATGGTTGATGTAGCAATAGGGGGAAAGAGAAGTCCTTTCATGATCGACACAGGTGCTGAACATTCTGTGGTGACTAAGATGGTGGCTCTGCCTTCGGGGAAGACTATAACTGTGATAGGAGCTACTGGGAGAAGTGCAGCTAGACCGGTTCTTAAGAGTCGCACTTGTATTCTGGGAGGCCATGTGGTGAAGCATTAGTTCCTATATATGCCAGAGTGTCCGATTCAACTTTTAGGACGAGATCTATTATCGAAGCTTTAAACTCAGATAACCTTTTACCTAATGGATTAACATCTCTGAAGTTTAAGGGATTACCAGGCATAATGGTGATATCGGTGCCAAGGGAAGAAGAATGGCGCTTCTATTCCATAGTGACAAGTGTTAACCCTAAGAGTGATGAATCCTTACTTGACATTCCAGGAGTATGGGAAGAAAATAATCCTCCAGGACTTGCTCGTAATATCCCACCAATACATATTGAGTTAAAGCTCGGGGTGTATCCTGTTAGCCTTTGTATGTTGTTCTTTTATCTACCCCAACAGCTGTAAAGGTGGCGGAAGTGACTCCTTGGATTCATCATTCTAAGGTTAAACCAGCAGCAGACTCTTGGCAAGCTACTCCAGATCCTGAGAATCCTTGCAGGACCCGGTTGAAGCGTGCAACTCAGTCGGAGTGACGAGGGGATAGCGAGACATTCTAGTTAAAAGTCTACAAAGATCATCAAGTAGGTGTTTTGACGGCCATAATAAAGCCTGACCACCTGCCTACGTGTCATAGCCAGAGTATCTTGAAGGGATCTCTGTGAAGGAAAGTGAGGATCAGAAGAACAACATCCTTGCAGCCCTCACAATTGGGAAGCTGAGAG